GAGAGAGAGAGAGAGAGAGAGAGAGAGAGAGAGAGAGAGAGAGAGAGAGAAGAGAAGAGAAGAGAAGAGAAGAGAAGAGAAGTAATCGAGTTTTTCAAAAGTAAAAAAATCGAACATAAATTTTTAGTTCGATCGGTTCGTTATGAGAAGTAATCGAGTTTTTCAAAAGTAAAAAAAATATAATCGAACATAAATTTTTAGTTCGATCGGTTCGTTCAATTTCGTGCAACCTGATAGTCATTGCACACATCGAGTTTTTCAAAAGTAAAAAAAATATAATCGAACATAAATTTTTAGTTCGATCGGTTCGTTCAATTTCGTGCAACCTGATAGTCATTAATGTGCAATTCGTCTAACACTACTCGTAGCGCATAAATTTTTAATGATTTGTCATAAAACAAACTAAAATCGAACCAAAATATTTTGTTTATTCAATCGGTTAACTAGTTAAGTTAATCGAAACAATTGAACTAATTTATTATATATATTGTAAAATATTTTTGTGTTTTAATATTTATATGTAATAATTTATATTAGTCGTGGTTGAAAAGACATATAAAATAAAGAAATCAATAATATGATTCCACAAACAAGAATATTTTATATTTAGTACTTTTTGTTTTTTCGTAAATAAAGTCAACCCCGAACCAAGAAAACCATTTCTAATATATGTAAAAAAATGCACACTCGCATAGCAACATTTTTTATATCATGCGTTGTTATTGTGCCGAATGCATTATTTTGCTATTTTGCATTCTCGAACGCATTAATGAACATTTGGTTTGACAATATTGTGCATGCTGACACACTAATGTACATCATGATTAATACTATTGTGCATTCGGTGCAGTATTGGTTTTTTTATTTCAAAATACAAAATAAACCAAATCGAAACGTCATTCGGTTAGTTGATCGAATTAACCTAATTAATCAAAATAATTTATTATTTATATTATAAAATTATATTTAAGAATTTATTTAACCTAATATATATTAATTTAAAATATATAAAAAATATATTTTTTTACATATTTTTTATAAATTACAAAGTTGGCCCTATGGACCAAATTGATATTTAATAAGAATTCTTGAAATTGCAATTAGGCCACTAAACGATATCTAATTCTCAATTACACAAAAATCCCTAAATTGTAGGTTCATCGGTGGGCCACTTTCACCGGCTGCTTCTCGTCGGTTGTCGTTATCTGTACCTCTTATATTCGTAAGCTCGTCGTTTTATTCTACGGTACATGGTCATCTGCTCCCCCAAAGTGGTCTTGTCTTTTCTCCAGAGACATTGGAGGAGGCGGTGCGGCGGAGGATGGATATGGCGGAGCTGCAGCGTGCAGGGCGTAAACGGCGGAGCTGCGACACTGTCATATCTTGTATCTCGTGTCATCGTTGCCGTGGTCGAGGGCTTGGAGCTTTCTAGGTAGACGGCTAAGATGGAGGAGGGGGGGGTGGCTAGAAGTGGGAGACGAAGCTGGAAAGGAGGGCGGCGGTTGGAGGAGTCGGGGAGGTGAAGGCGGAGATTGACGGGAAAGGGTCGCGGACGACGGCCATGGGAAGAGCTTTGTGCAGTTAATGCGTGTGTATGTGTGAGTAAGCGATTAGTGTGTGTGTTTGTGTGTGTATGTGTGGGAGAGAGAAAGAGTGAATGAGAGAGATGAGGTGTCAAGTGGGGCCCACACGTGAGTTGCTGTGTGGTAGCATGGGTCTCACTGTTTAATTTGTGTGTACAAAATTACAACACTACCCTTAATGAAGGTATAGTTTTAGGTTTTTTTAGTCGTTGGATCATCCGATCTAATGGCTACGATGCATTCTTATTTCTTTTAATGACTACCATTCTCACCGTAGTGTGTGTGTATATATATATACACACAAAGATTTGTATCGACCTGAAATAGTAACTAAAATCACGCCTAAAAATTCCATTTTTACCTTTATTAATAAATTTTTTAAAATAATTTGCTAAAAATTCCATTTTAACCATTTTTAACACTTAATTCACTTTAAAAATGAATATATGTTTTACATTTGTTTCGATTGTCCCTCACATTAAGGAAACAAATTTGTCGCAAACTTTTTTTTTTTTTTCCAAATGATAGAAATATCATTAGAGAAAAACACATATATACATCTAGAAACAACTCAAAAGCCGAAGGCACAGCTCAAAAGCTGAATCTAGTGGGAGGACATATCCAGAGGATCACCTAGAAGCTCAATTAGAGCAACGCACCCACTAAAAAACAGAAAAAACACAAACACAAACAATCACCACCACTGGAAAGAAACGAAGAAATACAAACCAAACAAACTCCACCATTGGAGAAAAACACCCCAATGGGAGACTACAAATTCCCCGGGAGAATACCCCTCCCCAATGGGAGAAAACACGTTTACCAGACAATCCAACCAAAAACCCCAACCCACAAAAAACAACACAAAACTACACTAACAACAAAACAACACAAAAACCAACACTACTAAAATACAAACTAAAACTAAAACACACACAAAAATAAGTAGCCCTCCCCACAGTGGCTAAACATCTCCAATCTCCGCAGCTGCAAAGAGAAGGATCGCCATCCAATTGGACCAAGCCACAGCCCCGGAATCGGACTCAGAAACTGCAACCAGACGCCTAACTAAGTCCAAAGCCAATGGCCCCGACCATATCCAGACAACCATCCCAACCCTAGCCCGGAAACCCACACCGCGACCACCCACCACCGAAACCAACAACAAAGCCCAAACCAGAAAGACCTGGACCCCTGTCTGGCCTCGACGACCTTCCTCCAACCAACACCAGGAAGGAGAAAGGCCCGGTGATAAACAGCGGGGCCTCCGAACCCTAATTTCCCCAAAAAAGGGGAAAAATACGGGACAACCACCCAAATCGGAAGGACCACAGGAGGCATGCCACAGCGGAAAGCACCGGGAAATCAGCCACCCGCAACCCCATCCTAGCACCAGAATCCTCGGCAAACCTGTTCAGGGGACCGGAGCCTTCTTCCCCAGTGGAGAACAACCCTCCAACCGGCAATCCTCCCTAAGATGGGCCGCAGAACCAGGGCCACCTCCGCCGAGAAAATTAGAGAGCTCCGCTGGGGGATGCGGTGATACAATCGGGCTTAAGAGAAGAAGAAGAAGAAGGGTTTTGGGGAAATTTTGATATTAGAGAGAGAGTTTTAAAAAGCTAACAATTTGTCGCAAACTGAAATCCCTCCCTATATATTAATTCAAAACGTGTTGAGCCTAGGTGGCAGATTCTCACGCTTCGTATGCTGAGATGGCGAAAATCTATGCTTCGTGATATTTTTTATGTTATTTTTGCTTTGGAGTTAAGTTTTGTATTAGATATAAATAACTTGGGATCGTCTATTGTCAGGTACCCTTCGTACCTACCTAACATTAGGTACCCTCTTTATATCACCTTTAGATTGACTTAAAATCAATATGAACCATTAGATTAAGGTACGAGGTTGGTACGAGGTAACGAAAATTCTATTTTGCCTCGTACCACCCTCGCACCAACCTCGTACCTCCTTGTACTTGTAAAAAACCTATAATACCCTTGTGTCATTAAAAATTAAAAAAAATTATAAATTTACAATTCTATTTATCTTTAAGTCCTTACATCTAAATTATTTCTATAACAATCCTTCATATACAAAACTATTTTATCATAACCTTTAACATTTAACAGAAATTATCCAATTATCCTCAACATCATTGTTCTTCGATTTTTTTTTCTTTCTCTGTCTCCTCCCTCTCTTCGTCGTTGAATCGAAGAAAATTTACAGTCTATATATCTCTCTCACTGTAACCGCACGAGGCTCGTGTAGTCTCTCTCTGTATCGGCGACAAATTTCACCATCTTCATCGGCGGTAAATTTCAGAACCCGTCCGCCTCACGGTACTCTCTATACTCTCTCTCTCGTCGGCTATCTCTCTCGGCCTCTGTAACGTCGTGGGCCTCACGGTACTCTCCGTCTCTCATTGTCCGAAATTACAGAATTCTTGGTCCGATTTAGGGTATTTGGTCCGAAAAGGGTTAGGCATGATTTTGGGTTTTTGGTCCGAAATTACAGAATTTTTAGGGTTTTTTTAGTTAAAATTTGTATTTTGAGTTCAATTAAAATATCTTTATGAATTGGTTTATTTGATTTTGCTTTAATGGTGCTGTAATGTTTGAATGACAATGTGGTGTTTGCATTTGCTTTATGCTTGGTGTATTGAGGGTTGTTGTGTGCTTAGTTGAACTCATCGTCAATATTGGCCCAACCGTTCTTGTTCTCCTTTTCATTTGTTTTTTGGTGCACATTTGATGTGGTCTGTGTGCACAATTGATGTGGTCTGTATCAGCAGATGAACCTTTTGGTGTGTATTTGGGAATTTAGGTGTTCAATGGGCTGCTGAGCCGCTGCTCTTCAAATTTATTTTTACACAATAACCTCTTGAAGTTTATTTTTGCACTTAACAAAGGTCTAGCTCCCTCTTTAGTTCCAAATTATGTCATGAATTTTATTGTTTTATTACAAGTTTATTACAAGGTCTAAAAGCTTCATCTCTTATTTTTTTTTGTCTGTTTTCACTAGTTTTTAGTGTTTAAGATCAAACAAATTCCCCAAATTTTTCTCCTACAGTCTGTAACTAATAAAGCTCGAGGATCTTGTTCACTTGAAGCTTAAACAGGGTTTTGATGCATTGCCGTGTTGATACTTTTGTTGATAATCCGATGAAGACTGGGAATGAGCCCATCATGGATCGGACGCAGTAGTTTTTGGGGATAGCGGAGAGGTTAAAGAAGCCGTTCGCCGCGCATAATGGACCGAGCAGCAGCGGGTCGAATCGGGAAGAGCCGCCGCGGTCGGCAGCGGCGCTGCATTCGGAGTTCAATCGGAGGTTGTCGAGGATTGGGTTCGGGATCCACCAAACGTCTCAGAAGCTAGCTACGCTGGCAA